GGTCTGGGAAAGGAGAGTTGACTACAGGAAAAGGGACTACAAGAGGATAAGGGACTATCTGGGAGAAGTGCAGTGGGAGGAAGAAATTGGAGGAAAAACAGTCCAAGATATGATGGACCTAGTCATAAGGAAATGCCAGGAGGCCGAACAGATTTATACCAACAGTGAAGGAAAAAAATAAGAGGGAATATAATAACCCATGGTTTAGTAGACAGTGTCAGGAAGCAAAAATGGCCAGCAGGCGGGAGTGGAGGAAGTATAGAAGACAAAGGACAGAGGACAACAGGATCAGATGCAACAGAGCTAGGAACGATTACATTAACATAAGAAAAACATCGGAAAGAAACTATGAGAACGATATTGCGATCAAAGCGAAAAAGCAACCTAAATTTCTACACAGCCAAATAAGAAGAAGAATGTCGGTGAACGACCAAGTGACAAGACTAAGGAAGACAGAGGGGGCATATACAGAAAGTGACAAGAAATCTGCGAGGCACTGAATGCCAGTTTCCACGGAATGTTCACAACCGAGCCTGAGCAGCTCCCATTGTTAGAAGAGATTACTCTAGATGAAAGACTATCAGATATAGAGGTTATAGAAGAGGAGGTAATGAAACAGTTGACAACACTGGATGCAACTAAAGCAGTTGGACCAGACAAAGTATCACTGTGGATACTAAAAAAGGCAGCGCAGGCCCTCAGCGTGCCTCTGGCAAGGATCTTTAATGAATCACTTATGTCGGGAGAATTGTCCAATTGCTGGAAGATGGCAAATGTTGTAGCGATTTTCAAGAAAGGTGATAGTGAGGAGGCACTTAACTATAGACCTGTATCACTGACAAGCATCCCCTGTAAAATACGTGAGAGAATAATTAGGCTACGACTGGTTGCACAGCTGGAGAACGCTAGGTTTGTAAACAAACATCAATATGGGTTCTGGAAAGGGAAATCTTGCCTAACAAACCTTCTGGAATTCTATGACAAAAAATAACGAGGATAAGACAGGACAGAGAAGGTTGGGCAGACTGCTTATTTCTTGACTGCCAAAAGCCTTTCATACAATACCGCACATGAGACTGCTATTCAAACTCGAGAGGCAGGTGGGGGTGAGAGGAAAGGCACTAGCATGGATAAAGAACTACCTAACAAGAGCCAAAGAGCTACGGTAAGGGGGGCGAGAAGTCGAACTGGTGAACAGTAATGAGTGGAGTACCTCAAGGATCGGTGCTGGGATCAATTCCATTTCTAATATATGTAAATGACATGTTTACAGGAGTAGAGTCCTACATGTCAATGATTGCGGATTACGCAAAGTTGATGAGAAGAGTTGTGACAGATGAGGATCGTAGATCCTTCAAGAGGACTTGAACAGGTTGCAGAGATGGTCAGAGAAATGGCTACTTAAGTTCAACACAAGCAAATGTAATGTTATGGAAATCGGACTAGGTGACAGGAGACCAAAGGGACAGTACACAATGAAAGGGAACTCCCTACCTGTGATGACGCAAGAAAGAGACCTGGGTATGGACGTAACACATAATCTATCTCCTGAGGCAGATATAAATAGGATAACGACAGCAGCGTATGCTACACTGGCAAAAGTTAGAACGTCATTCAGAAACATAAGTAAGGAGGCATTTAGAGCGCTTTACACTGCCTATGTGAGGCCAGTCTTAGAGTATGCCGCCTCATCACGGAGTCCCCATCTGAAGAAGCACATAAGGAAACTGGAAAAGGTTCAGAAGTTTGCAACAAGACTCGTCCCAGAGTTTCGAGGGATGGGATATGAAGAGCGCCTGAAAGAACTATGCCTTACGACACTAGAAAGAAGGGAAAGGGGGGGATATGATAGGAAAGTATAAAATACTCTGGGAGATTGACAGAGTATACATAGACGAAATGTTCATACAAAATGGTAACAGAACGAGGGGACATGGGTTGAAGCTGGAAACTCAGATGAATCGCAGAGATGTTAGGCAGTTTTCTTTTAGCGTGAGAGTAGTGGAAAAATGGAATACACTTAAGGAGCAGGTTGTGGAAGCAAATTCTTTTCATAATTTTAAGACTAGGTATGATAGGGAAATAGGACCGGAGTTATTGTTGTAAACAACCGATGGCTGGAAAGGCGGGATCTAAGAGTAAATGCTCGATCCAGCAGACACAAATAGGTGAGTACAAATAGGTGAGTACACACACAGGAAGCAGCCCGTATCAGCTGTCTAATTCCCCGGTACCTATTTACTTCTAGGTAACAAGGGCATCATGGTGAAAATGCACTGCCAACGTCGTTTCTGCCATCACCGAGGATCGAACCCAAACCCTAGGATTAAGAGTCTAGGGTGCTGTCCACTCAGCTATCAGGTTCCCTAAAGTATAAGAGTCTGTGTGTGTGTGTACTCACCTAGTTGTGCTTGCGAGGGTTGAGCTTTGGCTCTTTGGTCCTGCCTCTGAACCGTCAATCAACTGATGTACAGATTCCTGAGTCTACTGGGCTCTATCATATCTACACACAAGGACTCTCCCCTCACACACACAACGACTCTCCCCTCACACACATAAGGACTCTCTCCTCACACACACAAGGACTCTCCCCTTACACACACAAGGACTCTCCCCTCACACACACAAGGACTCTCCCCTCACACACACAAGGACTCTCCCCTCACACACACAAGGACTCTCCCCTCACACACATAAGGACTCTCCCCTCACACACACAAGGACTCTCCCCTCACACACACAAAAACTCTCCCCTCACACACACAAGGACTCTCCCCTCACACACACAAGGACTCTTCCCTCACACACACACAAGAACTCTCCCCTCACACACACAAGGACTCTCCCCTCACACACACAAGGACTCACCCCTCACACACACAAGGACTCTTCCCTCACACACACAAGGACTCACCCCTCACACACACAAGGACTCTCCCCTCACACACACAAGGACTCTTCCCTCACACACACACAAGAACTCTCCCCTCACACACACAAGGACTCTCCCCTCACACACACAAGGACTCTCCCCTCACACACACAAGGACTCTCCCCTCACACACACAAGGACTCACCCCTCACACACACAAGGACTCTCCCCTCACACACACAAGGACTCTCCCCTCACACACACAAGGACTCTCCCCTCACACACACAAGGACTCTCCCCTCACACACATAAGGACTCTCCCCTCACACACACAAGGACTCTCCCCTCACACACACAAGAACTCTCCCCTCACACACACAAGGACTCTCCCCTCACACACACAAGGACTCTCCCCTCACACACACAAGGACTCTCCCCTCACACACACAAGGACTCTTCCCTTACACACACACAAGGACTCTCCCCTCACACACACAAGGACTCTCCCCTCACACACACACACACAAGGACTCTCCCCTCACACACACACACACAAGGACTCTCCCCTCACACACACACAAGGACTCGCCCCCTCACACACACACACACAAGGACTCTTCCCTTACACACACACAAGGACTCTCCCCTCACACACACACACAAGGACTCTTCCCTCACACACACAAGGACTCTTCCCTCACACACACAAGGACTCTCCCCTCTCACACACACAAGGACTCTCCCCTCACACACACACAAGGACTCTCCCCTCGCACACACAAGGACTCTCCCCTCTCACACACACAAGGACTCTCCCCTCACACACACACAAGGACTCTCCCCTCGCACACACACACACAAGGACTCTTCCCTCACACACACAAGGACTCTTCCCTCACACACACAAGGACTCTCCCCTCTCACACACACAAGGACTCTCCCCTCACACACACAAGGACTCTCCCCTCACATACACAAGGACTCTTCCCTCTCACACACACACACAAGGACTCTCCCCCCTCACACACACACACCATGACTCTCCCCTCACACACACACACCATGACTCTCCCCCCTCACACACAAACAAGGACTCTCCCCTCTCACACACAAGGACTCTTCCCCCCTCACACACACACACCATGACTCTTCCCCCCTCACACACACACACCATGACTCTCCCCCCTCACACACACACACCATGACTCTCCCCTCTCACACACAAACAAGGACTCTCCCCTCTCACACACAAGGACTCTTCCCCCCTCACACACACACACCATGACTCTTCCCCCCTCACACACACACACCATGACTCTCCCCCCTCACACACACACACCATGACTCTCCCCTCTCACACACAAACAAGGACTCTCCCCTCTCACACACAAGGACTCTTCCCCCCTCACACACACACACCATGACTCTTCCCCCCTCACACACACACACACCACGACTCTTCCCCCCTCACACACACACACACACCATGACTCTTCCCCCCTCACACACACACACACCATGACTCTTCCCCCCTCACACACACACACCATGACTCTCCCCTCACACACACACCATGACTCTCCCCTCACACACACACACACCATGACTCTCCCCTCACACACACACACCATGACTCTTCCCCCCTCACACACACACACCATGACTCTTCCCCCCCTCACACACACACACCATGATTCTCCCCTCACACACACACACCATGACTCTCCCCTCACACACACACACACCATGACTCTCCCCTCACACACACACACCATGACTCTTCCCCCCTCACACACACACACCATGACTCTTCCCCCCCTCACACACACACACCATGATTCTCCCCTCACACACACACACCATGACTCTCCCCTCACACACACAAGGACTCTCTCTCCCTTACATGCACTTACACATGGATTTGATTTCACCATAAAATTTTGAAGTTTAACTAAAGCTCTTTAAATAAATACTCCCAGTGCATGCATCAAATATTTTAGTGAAAATATTTAAGATTTTATTAACAACAAATGTTTTGGGCTGATTCCATTTGAAGATGTTAAATTTTGACAAAAATAATTGTTTGTATAAGTATAATAATTAAATAGTATGTGTTCTTGTGTCTCAGAGATCCCAGAGAACCCGGGCTCCTTGGTCAAGAGCTTTCCCTACGTGGTGCTGGCCAAGTATGACTACACCGCCGTCCTCCAGGGTGAACTCTCCTTCCACAAGGGCGACTACATGCTGCTCATCAGCAAGGAGTAAGTCACCGGTCGGCGACGGCCACAGTAGAGGGGTTTGTGTGGGTGATGTCAGCTGGGTGGAGGCTTGGGTCGGGCAGCGGAGAGTGTTATTGTGTGGGTGATGTCAGCTGGGTGGAGGCTTGGGTCGGGCAGCGGAGAGTGTTATTGTGTGGGTGATGTCAGCTGGGTGGAGGCTTGGGTCGGGCAGCGGAGAGTGTTATTGTGTGGGTGATGTCAGCTGGGTGGAGGCTTGGGTCGGGCAGCGGAGAGTGTTATTGTGTGGGTGATGTCAGCTGGGTGGAGGCTTGGGTCGGGCAGCGGAGAGTGTTATTGTGTGGGTGATGTCAGCTGGGTGGAGGCTTGGGTCGGGCAGCGGACAGTGTTATTGTGTGGGTGATGTCAGCTGGGTGGAGGCTTGGGTCGGGCAGCGGAGAGTGTTATTGTGTGGGTGATGTCAGCTGGGTGATGGTCTGGGTCGGGCAGTGGCGCTCGGTCACCTAATTGTATTCACCTAGTTGGCTTGCGGGGTTTGAGGTCTTCTCTTTCGGCCCGCCCTCTCAACTGTCAATCAATCAACTGTTACTAACAACTAACTAAATTTTTCACACACACACACACACACACACACACACACACACACACACACACACACACACACACACACACACACACACACACACACACACACACACACACACACAGAGGGGGGGGACTCTGGTAGCTGAGTGGACAGCGCGCAGGACTCGTAATTCTGTGGCCTTTTGGGTTCCATTTCCGTCTAGGCAGAAACAAATGGGCAAAGTTTCTTTCATCCTGAATCCCTGTGTGTGTGTGGGGAGGGGAGGGGGGAAGTTAGTAGTTAGTAACAGTTGATTGACAGTTGAGAGGAGGGCCAAAAGAGCAAAGTTCAACCCCCACAAGCACAATCAGGTGAATAAACACCAACGAAGCAGCCCGTAACAGCTGTCTAACTCCCAGGTACCTATTTGCTGCTAGGTAACAGTGATTGCCGAGTTCCTTGTCCGAAACTTGTAATGAATCACACTGTATTGTGACGACCCAGGTGGAGGTCTGGGTCAGGAAGCGGAGAGCAGTATTGTGTGGATGATGTCAGGTGGGTGGAGTGGTATTGATGGGTGATGTCGTGGGTAGTGAAGTCGGGCAGCGGAGAACAGTTTTGTGTGGGTGACGTAAGGTGGGTGGAGGCCTGTGTCGGGGTGCAGAGTATTGTGTCATTGATGTTTGGTGGGTGGAGGCTTGGGTCGAACGAGTGGTATTGTAAGGGTGATGTCAGGTGGGTGGAGGCGTGGGTGAAAGAGCGGAGAGTCGTATTGTGAGTGATGCCAGGAGGGTGGAGGCCTGGGTCGGGCAGCGGAATGTGGTATTGTGTGGGTGATATCATGTGGGTGGTGGCGTGGGTCGGGCAGCCGAGAGTGGTATTGTGGGGGTGATATCAAGACGGTGAAGGGCAGGGTTGGTCAGCGGAGAGTGGTATTGTGTGGGTGATGTCTGTTGGGTGGATGTCTATTTGTGCTCACCTATTTGTGCTTTGTGCTCTTTGGTCCCACCTCTCAACTGTCAATCAACAGGTGTACAGGTTCCTGAGCCTATTGGGTTCTATCATATCTACACTTGAAACTGTGTATGGAGTCAGCCTCCACCACATCACTGCCTAATACATTCCATTTGTCAACCACTCTGACACTAAAAAAAAAATTCTAATATCTCTGTGGCTCATTTGAGCACTCGGTTTCCACCTGTGTTCCCTAGTGCGTGTGCCCCTTGTGTTAAATAGTCTGTCTTTATCTACCCTGTCAATTCCTCTGAGAATCTTGTAAGTGGTGATCATGTCCCCCCTAACTCTTCTGTCTTCCAGCGACGTGAGTTTTAATTCCCGTAGTCTCTCATCGTAGCTCATACCTCTCAGCCCGGGTACTAGTCTAGTTGGCAAACCTTTGAACTTTTTCCAGTTTAGTAGTTTCCTTGACTAGATATGGACTGCATGCTGGGGCTGTACACTGCAGAAATTGGTCTGACATAGGTGGTATAGAAAGTTCTGAATGATTCTTTGCACAAGTGTCTAAATGCCGTTCTTATGTTAGCCAACCTGGCATATGCTGATGATGTTATACTCTTGATATGGGCTTCAGGGAACAGGTCTGGCGTGATATCAACCCCCCAGGTCTTTCTCTCTCTCTCTCTCTCTCTCTCTCTCTCTCTCTCTCTCTCTCTCTCTCTCTCTCTCTCTCTCTCTCTCTCTCTCTCTCTCTCTCTCTCTCTCTCTCTCTCTCTCTCTCTCTCTCTCTCTCTCTCTCTCTCTCTCTCTCTCTCTCTCTCTCTCTCTCTCTCTCTCTCTCTCTCTCTCTCTCTCTCTCTCTCTCTCTCTCTCTCTCTCTCTCTCTCTCTCTCTCTCTCTCTCTCTCTCTCTCTCTCTCTCTCTCTCTCTCTCTCTCTCTCTCTCTCTCTCTCTCTGACTCTTGAAGAATTTCATCTCCCAAAAGATACCTTGTAACTGGCCTATATTGTGGCCAGTTACGTGTGGTATAATATAGCGGTATTGCATGGGTGATGTCATGTAGGTGGAGGCCTAGGTCGGGCAGCAGAGAGTGGTACTGCGTGGGTGATGTCAGGTGGGTGAAATCCTGAGATACCCAATGGAGAGTGGTATTGTTAGGGTGATATCAGGTGTGTGGTCTTTTGGGTTGGGAAGCGGAGAGTGGTTCTTTGTAGGTGTAATCAGGTAGGTGGAGGCGTCTGTGTGGCAGCGGAGAGTGATGATATACGGGTGATATCAGGTGCGTGGTGTTTTGGGTCGGGAAGCAGAGCGTACTTACCTAATTGTGCTTGCGGGGTTGAGCTCTGGCTCTTTGGTTCCGCCTCTCAATTGTCAATCAACTAATGTACAGGTTCCTGAGCCTACTGGGCTTTTTTATATCTACACTTGAAGCTGTGCATGGAGTCAGCCTCCACCACATCACTTCCTAATGCATTCCATTTGTCTACTACTCTGACACTGAAAAAATTCTTTCTAACGTCTCTTTGGCTCATTTGGGCACTCAATTTCCTCCTGTGTCTCCTAGTGCGTGTGCCCCTTGTGGTAAATAGTCTGCCTTTATCTACCCTATCAATTCCTCTGAGAATCTTGTATGTGGTGATCAAGTCCCCTCTAACTCTTCTGTCTCCCAGTGATGTGAGGTTTAATTCCCGTAGTCTCTCCTCGTAGTTCATACCCCTCAGTTTGGGTAATAGTCTGGTGGCAAACCGTTGAACCTTTTCCAGTTTAGTCTTATGCTTTACTGGATATGGATTCCATGCTGGAACCGCATACTCCAGGATTGGTGTGACATATGTGGTACACAAAGTTCTGAAAGATTCCTTACACAAGTTTCTAAAGGCCGTTCTTAAGTAAGCCAACCTGGTGTCGGAAAATCCGACACCATTTAATATATCATACAGACAGATAATAGCTGTGTTGTATAAACAAGTTAACCCATAGAAAACGTAACTTGTAGTAGAATTACCGTCTATAGAAAACGGGATATCATCACCACATACTATTATATTCTCCACCTATTATGGTGGGAATTATTCTTAAATACATTAGTCTTTGGACTTTACCATCATAAAAACATCTTATATAAATTAACTTAATTATCAATATTAAAGTAGAGTAAATGTGACCCTTCTATCACTTTCTGAAATCTGGACAATGTATGCCAGGCGTCAGAGTGAGGGAGGAGGGCAGCCATTGTTGTTTATACTTAGACCAGAGGCACACGGGAGCAAATACGGCTCCTGTTAATTTTACTTGGACGTAGTGTTATGGAAACCAAAGGTGTACCATTATCAACACGCTGTCAACAAATCAAGTTAAGTGTTCTTTCCGAAACCCATGTATCTTTCATTTATGGCCATTAATGTCATTATATAGGGTGACCCGGTTAGAGCACGTGGTAGCCTCATACTAAAGGTAATTAAGCCAGGTCTTTATTGTTCCATGTACAGTATTTTCTCTGATATACCTGTCATATATAGGAATCTGGCTTTACAGCTAGCGCCCTTTTGACAGGTCAAGACGAGGAAGCAAGACTTTGTGCACCAGTTACTGGGTGATGGAAGCTACCTCAAAGAGGATAATTTGGTCGGAAGGAACAACACGAGGAGAAACATCAGAAATACGAACGGAAAGAGAATCCTGTAGGCGAGATAACCGGACAGAAAGAGGGAGGTGGTGAAGAGGAACAGGAACCGCAGGAGGGGTAAAAGTTAAAGCACGACAGAGGCGAGAGGAAGGATGTTGCAAGGACCGCGCAAGATAGCGAAGACAGTAGCGATCACGGCGGTCCTGGAGAGACAGGAAGCCAGTGTCAACATACAAGCTAAGGATGGGAGTCGAACGAAAGGCACCAGAACTGAGACGCAACCCAGTATGGTGCAAAGCATCAAGACGGCGAAGAGTAGAAGGAGAAGCAGACGAGTAAGCAGGGCAACCATAATCGAGCTTAGACAGGACGAGAGAGGAATGTAAAGCAAGGAGAGTGCGCCTATCTGCCCCCCAAGAAGTATGGGACAGGACCCGAAGGAGGATAAGGGCCTTAGAACACTCAACACGGAGGTAAGAGATATGGGGAGGCCAAGACAAACGAGTGTCAAGGAATAACCCCAAAAGCTTCGCGGAATCTTTGTATTCAAGGGGATGACCATAAAGTGACAAAGAGGGACGAAGAACAACCCGTTTCCGCGTAAAAGTCATGGCACAAGTCTTAGAAGTAGAGAACTTGAAGCCATGACCTGTGGCCCAAGACGACACGGCATCAATGGCAAGTTGAAGCCGGCGTTGAAGGAAAGGCGAATCATCACCCTGACAACAAAGGGTAAGATCATCGACATAGAGAGCGGAGAAGACACCAGAAGGAAGAGAGGAAAGAAGACCATTGAGGGCAACCAGAAAAAGAGTAGTGCTCAGAACACTACCCTGGGGCACACCTTCGTATTGCTGAAAAGAGGGAGAGAGAGCG